TTTCAGCTGGTAAAAGTGTAAGCGATTGTGTAATGCGATTGACGTTTCTACCAGGACTTGGTAGTCCATGAATTTCCGCATAGTTTTCAAGAAAATTCTTCACGGCGGTAGCAACAGTTATATCAATGGTTATTTTGGTTTTCCATCGCGGCATTCGTTTTATGTTACCATGAACACGCGGTGTTATACCATTCGTTTCCAAAGACTTCTGACGTTTTCGAAGTGTGTGCGACCGATTCCTAACATATTGAGATACGTTTTCTGACAAAGTGGCGTGTTGCGATCTCAATAATAAAAAGTTCTTTTGTTAGCACGCGTTTTCTTTTTAAGACGCCGGCTGGCAGTCATTTCTCCACCATTCATTGCTTTCAACTGGGCCATTAAAAATATATCTTGTTCAGATCTAGAGAGAGCTTGAAACGCCTCACGTAATTCGGCAAAATTTTCTCTCGGAATCTTTTTTGAGCAACCACAATTGCAACCTATCTCCAAGAAACGTATTGATTTTTCATATTACAGTGGAGCCATTATATTCATTATTTATCATATACGGATAGTCCTATATATAAATTTTACAAACTGTATAGTATTGTTACTTTATTCATAACGTAAGCCATCTGATACATCATTAAAATTAGCTAGCTAATACTTGATATTAATCACATATAGCAATCTAATAAATGTGATAATTCAAACTTTTCTTTAAGAAACAACTTCTCATCATAATTTTTAATTGACATACCAGAATCGGTCAAATAATATATCCTCCTTCATCAACCAGGATATTTTCTTCACGAATATCATTGTGAAGAACTTTGACAATCATGAAAGCACAAAGAGCCCGTTTCTTTTGCCATCGGCATCCATTTATCTTATAGTGATACAATGTAATGCCAACAATACTGATATATCATGTGATTTATGCATCAGTAGGACGAGTGCAAGAACTTACCATAGCCTGGACCGTGTTCACTCAAGATGATCATGTTATATGAACGTAAGTTTTCATAACTAATAATACGATACTGATTTGAAAGCAATCGATCAATAAATTATTGGATTTATAATTGGCGCGATAAGGATGTTATACAACCAATGGTTATACTCTCTCCATCAGTACGATAGCTTACATTTTTGAAGAAAAATAGTCAGTCTCGATAAGTCGGCCAACGCTCCAGCTATGCTAGTCTGCAAGATTATTTTGCGATGTAATTATATTAATGTATTAATAATTGGCGGTTTAATTAAATGTATCTCTTCGATCATATGATTTTCGATAAGTCGGTCATTTGAGGCGGGCTACTGTCGACCGACTTATCGAGACTGACTATGTATCAAAATAATATATTAATAAATGGCAAGACGCTAATTATGATACCAATACAATAGCTAGTGCGGCACTTTAAGATCAGACAACTGTCTCGTTCATATATAACTATGATATCTTTGAATGATATTTTTTTTATGAAGCACCACCAGCTGAAAGAACTCAACGAGAGGTCGTTGACATATTGTAAAGAGTATACCATTGTATCATTAAGACATCGTCATGATATCAACATAATAGCCTCCTACTGTACTTGTTACAACTTCCCGCAACTACGTCATACTGAAATTATTTATTATATTGCCAAAAATAGTGTGCACCACATACTACAATTAAACATTAGAAGAGCTCTTCTAACTTTTTAATCAAACCATCATAGTTGACATTCTGAGCTAATTCATGGATTTCATTCCAAATGCCCACCTTTCCATGTGATGACCAAAATCATAATAGTCTGCAGCATATTTTTTGATGTTTGCATTAAATGAAAGTCTTTCCAGTTCTGGCTGGTGAATCATCAAGTAGAAAGATCGTACAAATGACACCAGATCAATCTGAAAATCATAATCAATTGCCTGGTTCTCTTTCAATGAATGTAATACACTATCAGGCATGCATTCTATAGCACCACTGAATGGTGCATCTGCATTTTTTTCTACACAATATCCCCAATCTGTAAGAATGAGTTTGCCATCTTCATTGCATAGAAGGTTGTACTTGCGAATGTCTCTATGGATTAATCCACATGATTCATGTACCTTTTGTAGTGTAGAAATGACTGCTTTTATGTCATCCCTCTTGAGATTTGAAATTTCATACTCACAGAAAGGATAAATTACCAGCACTCCAGGACTGCTTGCACGTAATTGAGGAATATGAGCTGAGTTTAGACAAGACAGTTCTTTCAACACTTTCTGTTCACAAGCAAAGCACTCAGCATAGCTGTCATTTTTTGCCACTTTGACTGCAACATTTTCATTATCCAGTTTTGCAAAATATACCACACTGGTTCTACCTACACCAACTGAGCGTTCAAGGTAAATAGACTTGTCATTGACATGCAATATGGATGATACCCAGCCCAACTCTTGAGGTGTGCTTCTAAAAATGTAATGAGTTGTCGCCAGCCTGTAGGTGGGGATTTTCCAGTGTATGGAAGCTTTTCTTGTTTAGTATAACCATAGGTGTACCAATCACCTTGCTTGCTTACTTTAATTAGGACAATCTCCTGGCAATCAGTTAGAAACACAAAAGCAAAATTCCGTTGAGGTTGCATCTGAAGTAATTTTTCTCCAAATGAAGCAGCATGGCCATAGTCAGCTGCAGAGAATTGATGACCATGCTTCTTTCGAATTTCTCCCAAAGCAACAACATTGAGTGCATCAGTAATTGCACCCTTCTCAATAAATACAAAGTCAGGCTTGCGTGAACTCAATAATGGTGTCAAGTGGGTGTCTTTGATTTCAAGCTTGGTATTAGGAACATACCCACATTCTCTGATGAAATGTTGTTGGAGTTCCTCTTCACTTCCAGTAGGAGGATTACGGAATTTTCCAGAACTCCCCCATTTTGTGTGCTTATGTCGAGTCAGCGGGAATGGAAAGCTCATATGATTTGCCTCCTCTTTGACTACATTGCCATGTTCAGTTGCAGTTTGGGTGGCTACAAAGACATTCTTACATTAGAATCACATGTCCCCAAATTCATATTACAGTCATTCATCTCACATACCAGGACAGCTGTACCACTTGTCAGTCATTAAGTGGACTTTTTTAACCTCTCTTCTTATTTGTTGGAGTATATCTGCATCAAGTTGATGCTTTGCACCAGACATCCCTACAAGAAGCAAAGTGGCTGTATATTTGAGTGCTCTACCTAGTAAATTTATCAATAAATGGATGATTTTGCACATTTGCTACGTTCTACTCCACACCCCTATCACAAATAATGAAAGCAAGTAAATCCATGATCCAGTTGTGGTTGAAGGAATGAGGGTTAGAAGTATTTGAATGCAATCATGGTATTTATACTCTTAATTTCACAACTATAATAGAGTCAACTCTAGCTATAATAACGTCTTCCCAACAATCAAATTACTATATCCATACTACTATATTTACTCTACCCTAGGTACACACTACTCTACGTCCCCAATGCCCGAGTCACAAAGTCGTTACCTGGTTGAGTGCTCATTCGAAGATTTTCTCCCCACTTGTTAACTTCCACCTCCCGTGCCACCACACGTACTTCGTCTCCTCTTCATCCTTAGCAACACTCAACTTCTCTTCAGCCTCGTTCAACCGCGTCTGTGCCTTCATAAACCCTTGTCTCAAGTCCTCGACAGTTGCCATCTTTTTTTTCGTTTGTGTTGCGCGCGATATCAGACATGATACAGTGGCTTAATTAATGACGTATATTAGGAACTTTCTAGACCTTTTTAGTAATTATTGTTCCCCTGTATGCAAATGTGACCAATGATAATCAATGCGCAGAAATTCGCGTTTGTCTAATGATCATCCGCAGAACAACGAATATTTTATTACAAAAACAACACTGAGCATATTCTGCCAACTTACCAGTGATTCCCTTCCTATACAAATCCATGTAGCGGCTTTCCTAGCAAATCTTCTTATTGTAATCGTATCAACGGATTCCAAGGCTGCAGGAACGACACGTTGCAAGCCTGACCAAGAATAGTC